CCCCCCCCACTTATCTGTGCTCACTACTTGGCCTGAGTTCATCACACCTGCATACAAGACCCAGAGTGGGCAGGAGGCCTGCTGGGGTCCCGGGGAGCCTGGGAGACCTCCCCCCCCTCCCCACATAGAAGTCTCCTGCCCAAGAGCTGATGAGGGTGGAAGGAAAAGAGCTCGGGGAAAGCAGAAGGTGGGGAGAGAGGAAAACTGGGGGGATGCCCGATTCAGGAAGACCGGGGGGGGGGGGGGGGGTTGGCCTGTGCAATGAGCACATGCAAATCCTGCCCCTGCCAGGGCCTGACTCTGCTCTCAGTCTCAGTTCCCTGTCTGGAAAATGGGACGGAGGCAACTTCCTCCTGTGACTCGCTCCCCTCCCGTGCTGAAGGAGGACGACAGAAGTCGGCCAACCGACCACCATGTCAGTGTGCTCCAGGTTGGAGCGCCTGCCCAAAGATGGGCAACAGTTCACATGAGCAGGCAACAGTCCCCACCCACCCGAAGCAGCCAGCAAACACAAAACAGACACGCTCCCTCTCCCCAAAATGGGGCCCGGCACTTCCTGTGTGAGATTTCCATTTCCTCAGCCAAAATGAAAAAGCAGCAAGAAGTGGTGGCAATAAAATGGGGAAGAGGGCTGGGGATGGACGGATATCCTGCCAGCTCCATGCGGGAGCGGGAGCCCATTTTTAGCTGAAATCTCTTGGCTGGATTGTTCCTGGTGTGTCTTCCCCGTCACCCCAAGCCCTGCCTCCGGGGGTGGGGGTCGAGAATGCAAGCCCTGGATCGGGAGGAGGGTGGGAAGGCAAGCGAGGAAGTGGCAGAAGAGGGAGCATGCTCGGAGGCTGCCTGGTGGGAGACGTTTGGGGAGGGGGGGGGCTCCTTCCAAAAATGATGCCAATAACCAAACAGATGTAAACAGCATTTGGCCAGAGCTGTTAACCCTTTGAGATGCACTGAGCCACCAGTCCCCGGCGGCCACATCCAGGCTGCCCAGGGCTTTGGGAAAGGGGGGGGGAGTGGAGCAAGCGGAGGGGGGGGGCACGCGGCTTCCTTGGTGGGAGCACCAAAGGCACCCTTCGCCCTGGGGTATCTGAGCTAAAACCAGATTTTTCCGGATGGAAAACACAGGCCACGAGGATTTCAAATAAATAAAGAAGAGCTGTTGTGGGATCCCGCTGGAACTGGCCTGGGGAGACCGAGGCTCAAAACCTTGCTCAGTAATGAAGCTCACCGGGTGACCTTTGGCCAGGTACACCCTCTCTACCTCACGGATTAACCTTTCCATGCTGCCTCAGGACATGGACAGTGGCTTGGAAGGGCGTGGCCACGGCCCAGCTGAATTCAGGAAGTAGTAAGTGCAGAAGAAGAAGAAGAGATTGGATTTATACCACGCCCTTCACTACCCAAAGGTGTCTCAGAGCGGCTTACAAACTCCTTTCCCTCCCCCTCCCCACAACAGACACCCTGTGAGGGAGGTGGGGCTGAGAGAGCTCTTGACAGAAACTGCTCTTTTTCAAGGACAGCTCTTATCAGAACTACGGCTTGCCCAAGGTCATCCAGCCAGGTGCAATTGGAGGAGTGGGGAATCAAACCCCGTTCTCCCAGATTAGAGTCCACGCACTTAACCACTACATCAAACTGGCTCTCTAGTAAATGCAGAAGGAAGCCGTCACAGAACTCTAGGTGTCCCCTGGATGCACAAGAGAACTTCATGACTCTTGCCCAGTGTGGATGTCTCTTTTCTGGGCACAGTGCTCACACAGGACACTTCCAGCCTTCCTTAGAGGAGACCGATATCAGTCCATTTACAGTGGAACGGCCTTGCTCTCTCTGACAAATAACCTTCGCTGGCAACCCTGCAGATGCTCCTAGATGGCTCACTAGCTTTCAGAACCACCTTCATTGGATTCGTCTGGACAGATTGGTTGAACTGGGTATCGGGGGCACCGTGATCCAAACTGCTCCTGTCGGGTATCAGGAAAGCAGTGCTGGGGACGGCTGCTCAGCTGCACAGCATTGGTACTGTGGACTCCCACAAGGCTCCATCTCATCCCCATGTGCTGTTCGAGGTTTACATGAAACCGCACGGAGAGATCGCCAAGAGATCTGGGGCAAAATGTCACCAATATGCAGACAGTTCGTTTGCGATACTGCGGCATCGTGCCTAAGAGAACGTGCTGTGATTGAGGAGGTGCTGCCCAGTTCAAACCTCACCCCTGCCACAAAACCCGCTCAGTGGTTCTGGGCAAGCTGCTCTTTCTCAGCTTCACCAACCCCCCCCCCCCCCATTTGCAATACAGGGATAATTATACTGGCCTACCTTTAAGGGCTGTTGCAAGGATTATAAGACAGTGTGTGTAAAGAGCTTACACAAGCGTGATATAAATGTTATGGAGTGAGCTCCCATTTCTAGTTCCAGCTCCTGCCAACCTAGCAGTTCGAAAGCAAGAAATTGCAAGTAGATAAATAGGTACCACTTCGGTGGGAAGGTAACAGCGTTCCGTGCGCCTTGGCGTTTAGTCATGCTGGCCACATGACCACGGAAACGTCTTTGGACAGCGCTGGCTCTTCGGCTTCGAAACGGAGATGAGCACCGCAACCCTAGAGTCGGACTCGACTGGCTTTCGAGCAAGGGAACCTTTACCTTTTTATTGTCATGACAACATCCAACTCCATATTCCCCTCTTAGTTCACTGACGTTCTGGATGTGGCGATGAGCCAGATAAGGGCCAGAAAGGGAAGCTTAGTCCAGAGACAAATAAAGAGGCGGCCTGTTCTTGGTGGGGCTGCACACTTGCCCCCAAGGGACATGTTCGAACAGCGTCGGGGTGCTCTCAAATTATCTTCCAATGGAGGCTCAAGTCTCTTGTGTAGCACAAAGCGCCAGCAACCAAGCCTGGGGAAGAGCCAGCAGTGGCTTTCCCTGGACAAGCAACATTTGTTCAGCTACCCACACACCATTCATGTCCACGATTAGATTACTGTAACACGTTTTCTGAATGGGCTTCTTTTGAAGACTTCAATTTGTTCGGAAGGCGGCAGACAGATTTGTTTCTGCTCTCCTGTAGCGTTTTACCTGGTCTCTTTTTCACAATGTGTTTTTATATGTTGCGAGACAACTTGGCTATTTTCTAGTGGACGTTATGGGATAGAAACTTTTTAACTAAATAACAACCTAACGGCAGTGAAAGCCTTCAGGAGCTCCTTGGAGAAGGTGGGGTGGGAGAATTACATAATGGACAGGTAAATAAATAATTGGACAGGTAAGGAAATGGTGGCGGTGGAAAGTCTCAGAAGCCAAGCGTTCAATAGCCCAGACCAATCATTATAGCACTTTATATGGCTCGCCGCCATGTGTAAATTGTACTGTTGTTGTAAATTTGTAATTTTATTGTTTTTGCTATAGACTATTTTAGATGTATTGTATTAATTTTACTGGTTTTAATGGCTGTAAGCCGCCCTGAGCCGCTTCGGCGGGAGGGCGGAATAAAAATCTAATAAATAAATGAATAAATAAATAAATAAAGTGATGTCAAGTTGCCGCTGACTTATGGCAACCCTGTAGGATTTTTAAGGCAAGAGATGTCCCATTGCCTGCCTCTGTGTCACACCCCTGGTATTCCTTGGTGGCCTCCCATCCAAATACTGACCAAGGCTGATCTTGCTCAGCTTCTGAGATCTGGCTAGCCTAGGCCATTCAGGTCAGGGCAGGTAAATAAATCAGGATAAAATTCAAACCCCCCCCCCCCAAACACAAGCAGATACACAACGGGGCAGCCAGACTGCCTTTGCCTTTTGGGGAAGACCAAAGGATGGGTAAGGAGGGAAGGACTGACGTACGATCTGGGCAGCTCCAGAGCACTGGGCGGGGGATTCCAGGTGTCTGAGTGGCCGAGCATCCAATCCGACCAGACCTTGATGCTGGGAAGAAGCTCCTTGACGTCCTGCGGCAAGGAGGAGACTTTGATGTCACCTTCGGCAGAGCCGCCCTGCTGCCCTGCTGCCAAGAGAAAAAAGGGGGAGGCCTTGTTACGGGTCACGTCTCGGCCAAAACTCCTCACGGCCATCTGCAGAATCTTCTCTGCCACCTCCTCCTCTCTCTCCAGTCCTCATCTTGACCGTCTGAGGTGGAGGGAAACCCCGGTGTTCATGACCAAGAACAGCAGCCCCCCCCCCCAAAGCTGGGTGCTGTAAGGAAGACGGAGGAGGGCTTGAAAAGTTAAGGCAATGTGTTGGATGCAGCCACTCTTCACACGTGAACACACACGAAGCGGTCTTAAACTGAATCAGAACATTAGTCCGTCAAGGTCAGTATTGTCTATTCAGGCTGGCGGCAGCTCTCCAGAGTCTCAAGCAGAGGTCTTCCCCATCTGATCCTTTTTAACTGGAGATGCTGGGGATTGAATTTAGGACCTTCTGCATGCAAAGCAGAGGCTCATGCACTGAGCCACAGCCCCTTCCAATATTCAATAGAACAAAAGGGCTCCCTGACAAAGCCAGCACTACAGTTCTGGCCGGCCAGGAGGAAGCCCAGAATCCTCTCCACCCTTGCCCAGAAAACTCTGTCCCATTCCTGAGCTATAACTGACTGGACAAAAGGGAGGGCTGGACTCCAAGGGGCAATGTTAACTGGGCTGCCCGTTCTTCCAGGACCTGATCCAGAAAAGACTTATGTGCCTTCTAGGGTGCTCAGAGTGAAGTGCGCCTCCAGTGCGCCTCCAGTTTCAATGCACACACCAAAACCTGTTTTCAGGTTCCCAAAAGTCTACAAAACACTGTACATCTTCGAGCACATGATGCTGCTGCATGAACCCTGAAGATGTAGACAAATCCTGTAATTAGAACAACTAAGCCAAAATAAACTAAGCAAACATGCACGTCTTTGTTACTTTTGTGCCTAATTCACGGGGATGAGCAAATCATAACTCTGACCAGCACAAAAATCACATGCATCAACCAGTGGAAATCCTACCCACCCCTCCCCCATATCTGGCTTCTGTGGTTTCACCTGGCATCTTCATGACTGTAACAACTGGATAGTACTTCGAATGCTTTTTAAAACTCAAGTTGAACTCTGAATCTAGTACCAAATCCTGCACTTGGGTGGGTGGGGTGTGGTTGCAGGAGGCCAGAATACACACAGCGGCAGAGCCTGGGCAGGCTTCCATTTAAACAAAGTTGGGGATTAAAAGCACCCAGATCAGAGAGGCTCGTATATCTGTTAACAGGCAGGAGAGCAGAAGTGTGTGTGTGCAGGGTGGGCGGGGGGAGGAGAAATCAAGGGTGGTATCTTCTTGTCTGAATGCCAGCTTCATTCGTTCCCTTTGACATCTAGAATCTGAGGCAGCTAGCTATACAGCTCCACAAGGGAAGCGGACAAATTCATGGAGGAGGGGTGGTCCAACAGTGACCAGTAGTCATGTTGACTAAATTAGGCCACCATGTTCAGATGCTGTCAGGCAACAACAGGAGGGGGAATTTTGCCCTCACAGCCTGCTTCTTTGACATCTGGTGGCCCACCGAGGCGGAAAGGATGCTGGACTTGATGCCCCCCCGTGGTGTGACCCAGCGGAGTTCTCCTGAAGTTCCCAAGCTCGGGCAAGTCATCTGGGGACTCAACAGCAGAGCAGAGCCACCCAGACCAACCTCTCCTTCTGAGCACAGATCCACCCCTGCCCTGCTTACCGAGGGAGACTTCCTGTAGCAAGATGGTGCAGCGGTTGACTAATATGGCAAACATGGAGAGTCCAAAAGCTGTGGCCTGCTCCTGGATCACTGAGCGGCAGTCTTCGGCGAGGCACTCTGTGGGCAAAAGCAAGGAACAGATGAGTGGTGGGCACCAGGACTCAGCCAGGCAGTGCAGAAAGCAATCCAGTGGGGGGGACCGCGCTCTGATGGGCTAGCTCATGCCTGCTGTGCAAAGAATGCCGGGAGCAGCAGACTTCAGTCCGATCCAGATTTTAAGAAAATGTACATCTTGTGTCATAAGAAAGAGTGGTGACGAAAGAGTAACTTTTAAATTTTATTTTAATTTGTTTATACCCTGTTCTTCTCCCCAACAGGAACCCAAAAGGGCTTGTAATATTGTTCTTCCTTCCTCTGTATTATCCTCGGAGCCATCATCTTATGAGTTGGGTTAGGCTGAGAGGGTGCCTGACCCAAAGCCACCCAGTGAGCTTCCATGGGAGAGAGGAGGGATTCGAACCTGGGTCACTCCGATGCTAACTGGGCACTAACCGCCACACCGCTTCACTCAGCATGAGTGCTGCCTTGGCAGCAGGGTTGCTGAGCTCTAGGCCGTAAGATTTCTGGACATTTTGGGGGTGGAGGCTGGCGAGGGCAGGGCTTGGGGAGGGGAGACTTTACTGGGGTGCAAAGCCACGGAGTCCACTTTCCAAAGCAGCAATTTTCTCCAGGGGAACTGAGCGCATGGGATAGAGCAGGTCGAGAAAGAAGTACTTTTCTCCCTTTCTCACAATACAAGAACTTGTGGGCACTCCATGAAATTGCTGAGCAGTCGGGTTAGAACAGATAAAAGGAAGTCCTTCTTCACCCAAAGAGTGATTAACACATGGAATTCACTGTCATATGAGGTGGTGGCAGCTACAAGCATGGACGCCTTCAAGAGCGAATTAGATAAACATATGGAGCAGAGGTCCATCGATGGCTATTAGCCACAAGGTATAGATAGGGACTCTCAGTATGGGGCAAGTGATGCTCTGTATTCTTTGTGCCTGGGGGGGGGGCAAACAGTGGGAGGGCTTCTAGTGTCCTGGCCCTACTGATGGACCTCCTGATGGCACCTGGTATTTTTTGACCACTGTGTGACAGAGTGTTGGACTAGATGGGCCATTGGCCTGATCCAACATTGGCTTCTCTTATGTTCTTATGAGTCTTTATCACTCAGCAGGGCCTGCAAGCTGCTAGATACACTCTGGCCAGCAGAAACAAGGCCGGCTTCCCCAGACCTTTTCAGCTGTTACTTGGAGCACTGTGGCAAGAGGGGGAGACTAGGGGTTTCTTTGGAGAACCCTTCACTGGGGCAAGTGATGCACTGTATTCTTGGTCCTGGGGGGGGGCAACAGTGGGAGGGCTTCTAGTGCCCTGGCCCCACTGCTGGACCTCCTGATGGCACCTGGTATTTTTGGCCACTGTGTGACAGAGTGTTGGACTGGGTGGGCCACTGGCCTGATCCAACATTGGCTTCTCTTATGTTCTAATGATCTCTTTTATCTGGAGACTAGTTGTCATTCGGGGAGATCGCCACCTGCCACCTGCCACCTGGAGACTGGCAATTCTACCTGGCAGATGAGAGTGCTTGAGTCTGAACTCTTGCTTTGTACCTTTGAAAGACATCAGAGAGCCAAGGAGAAAGTGCTAAACAAAAAAAACCACCAGATCAGGGAAGACTGAAGTCATCCCCCCCCCCCCCCCGGAGAGAATGCTCCCTCTCTCGCCACACCCAAGCAGCAGGATACTGCTCCTACACAAGAGGGAGGCAGGAGGGATCTCCATGAAGGGCTCTGCGCAACTTTTGCTGCCTCTTCCCTCTGTGTGTGTTTGGCTGGGAGGGAACGAGCAGAGAAACCCTGGAGTTCCAGTCGGGAAGTGATCGCTCTGCCTCGCATGTGGAGGTCTGCAAAGTGCTCCAGTTGGTGGGGCGTTGAATCCATCTGGACGCGATGAATGTGCTCAAAGAACAAGGCATATGGACTGCTTTCCTGGACCAAAGAGATGCAGGGAAGGCCCAGAGCACTGGAAGAAGGTGGGAAACGGCAAGGAGAACGAGAGAAGGTGTCCACAGGAGTCAGACGGCAAAGGGCCCCCCATGACAGAAGGGCCTATGGTCACCAGCAGTGTTCCCTCTAAGTTGAGTTAGTGAGTTAGTGTGAGCATAGTTTTTTAGCCTCCGGCTCACACATTTTTGTCTCCGCTCAGGAAGGATGGCTCCAGAGCAAACTAATTTATGCAGCAGCCAAATCGCTCGCTCACAACTTCAATGCCAGCAGCTCACAAAGTAGAATTTTTGCTCACAAGACTCCAAAGCTTAGAGGGAGCATTGGTCACCAGCTAAGGCAGTACCAGCAGTGTCTCTACCGGCACAGAAGAACAATGTGGGAGCAAAATGCGGCAAGCAGTGAGTGCTGCAGCTAGCTGCAAAGCCACGCTGGATACCGCCCTACTACAATGACCAGGGATGTGTCTAGCCAGGGAGTGAGGGATGGTGAACCAGAGATCACGGCCACCGGGAACTGCCCCCATCCAAAAAACAAGCCTTAGTCCGATCTTTATTAAGCAAATCTTCATCCTTTTATCTAATAGACAAGGGCAGATAAAAAAACAACAACACACACACAGTGGGACCAGCCACAGCTACCCTTTAAAGGTAAAGGTTCCCTTGCTCGAAAGCCAGTCGAATCCGACTCTAGGGTTGCGGTGCTCATCTCCGTTTCAAAGCCGAAGAGCCAGCGCTGTCCAAAGACATTTCCGTGGTCATGTGGCCGGCATGACTAAACACCAAGGCGCACGGAACGCTGTTACCTTCCCACTGAAGTGGTACCTATTATCTACTTGCATTTCTTGCTTTCGAACTGCTAGGTTGGTAGGAAGCTACCCTTTAGGGGAGTGCAAATCTCAAGGAACACCCAGGTTTGTAGAATTTATGTTTTAAAAAGAAATAAAAAAACCCCCCCCCCCCCATTAATGTCTCCACCTAAAGACTGGCAGGCACTAAGGAAGCACAGCGTTCCAGCAGCACATTGGAATGCAAGCCAAACCGGCACCAAACACTGAAGCAGCGGAGCTGGCCACCAGCCCCGTGGGAAGGATGGAGAGGGTGTGTGTGTGGTGAGGAGAACCAGTGGCGGTGGAGACTGGGGGAAATGGAAGCAGGGGGGATAGGGGCAGCAGAGGCGAGAAGAGGATTACCCATCCCGCATTAGTCCCCACACGTAGATTTTCTGTAGATTTCTATTTTGACGACTGAAGCTCACCTTCCCACCCCCAAAACCTGGCTTGCTTATTTTACTGGAAACTGCTTGGCAGCTTTCCAGCTTATCTTTGCAGCCATGAGGACTGGAAACCTGATTTTTCTATCTGTTTAAAAATGTGGCAAGATTCTTTTAAAAGACATCCCAAACTCTGGAGCAACCTGTGAACTCCATATTTTTGCAGCCCCCACCGCACAACGGCAGTCTTGCAGAACTGGTGGCAATGAACTCAATAACCATTTTGTTTAAAGCATTGCATGAAGCATTTACCCTTTTGACTTTAAGATCAATATTTGCATTTCCCACATCTGCAAAATGGCCATCTGTCTGACTGGCAACTCTCTGCCACTTTCTGTACCATGCAGATGTTCTAAAAACAGCTGTCAGGCAATACCTCCTTTATGAAGACCAACTAACATTTCACAAAACAGCAGGCAAACCTCTGAGCTCCCTAGAACTCTATAACTTTGGACGGTCACTGTACGAAAAGCAGGGGTGAGGAGAATAGGAAGAAAGGAAGGAAGGAAAAGATGTTTCAGAGCATGGTGGGAAAGCCCAAAGACTGCCACTAGTGCCCTGCTGGGTGTGAATCAGGTTTTAAGATGCACCAAAGGTTACTGGGACAGAGACGCCACCCCGACCCACCCACTCTCTCTTTAAGAGTGTTAAAGCCAGCCAGAAGTCAACCTGATGTCTCTGCAGCACAGATCAGAATATGTAAGGCCCTTGGAAGGCAGACAAGCAGGAGGACAACATAGTTAGGGGGCTCTCTCAGCAACAAAACTAAAGATTAATTGCTACAGATGCATAGGACACCCTCCCATAAAGCAAAAACCCACCTGAAGAACCGAGACAGCAGAACTTTGAAATGCAGAGGGCCAGCCATTCCCCCCCCCCCCCAGGTCAAGGCCAAGTACAATTGAGCCAAAGGGTCAGCTGACAAGAAAAGCTCCCATCACCCATACCTGAGCCCAACGAGGAGAGCCAGAAGGCGGGGCCAGGGGGCACCCCAGCAAAACCCAAAGGAAGGCTCAATACTCCCTGCCCTCTGGACGGTCCCACATTTGGACCTGCCTGCTGTCCCCGTGCCAGGCACTGTTCCGGCCTCCATAAATCTACCTGGCTTCTCTTACGTAGCGGGAGACATTTTGGTTTCCAGGAGAACATAATATTCATGGAAAACATAAACCAACTGTCGTCAAAGTTGTCGGGGCTCAGGAAATGGAGCGGCCAGGAGAAGGCTGCCATGTGGCCGGATGTTATGCATTTCTAATTAGCGCGATACATCTTTCAGCAGCCGCGAGTGTCCTTTGCTGGGAAACTGAGAGCGCTGCCGTTGTTATTGTAACTGTCAAGGAGTGCTTAAAACAGATAATCTCCAGGAAAAGTGATAAACACAACCCTCCCCACCAGGGTGTGCTGGACACCGTCACCGGACCCTCCTAGAGGGCAGCGTGGCCAGGTCGCAAGAAGCAACGGGATAAGGCTGCTACTGAGATGCAAAGGGTGTGGGGTGTGTGTGCGTGCTGTCCACTGAGGCAGGAGAAGCAGAGATGTCAACACCGGAACTTCTGCTCACAGGTCTGACTGGACCGCAAGGAAAACAAACACGAGCTGGGTGACAGGGTACAGCCGGCGTTCTTCAGATCAAAAGTCGGGTTGATTCAGAGGCATCCCAACCCCACTCTTAGCCGCAACTCCCCACACGCAGGCTTTTCTGCAGGCATCCAAAACCAGAGGAGAGTCACGCGGACATTCATTTTCACCTGTCTCGTTGGCCTACCGAGGCTGGCGTGCATCATTCTGAGCTCC